GCCCCTTCCATATGAGGACAGCAATGTTTGTTTGCTCCAGGATTAGTGTGTTTCTATTAGGAATGGATATTGGAGTTTGTCAAATTCTTTTTCTCGTCCATTGAAATGATTGTGTAGTGAATCACTATTTTCTATTACTATGCTGAATTACAATGATCTTAGAATTCTAGGGATAAACATCATTCCTGGGATAAATCCTATTTGGTCGTGATGTGTTACCCTTTTTATATATGTTGGATTTGACTTGTTAAAAATATTAAGAATTTTTGCCTCTATGCTCTTGATGGACACGGGTCTGTAGTTATAATATCTTTGTCTGGTATGGGGGTGACACTGGCCTCATAGGACAAGTTGGGAAGTGTTCTCTTCAGCTATTACTTCTTCCCTAAGTGTTTGGGCAATTGTCTTTTAAAACATTTTTATTGTGTTATAAGATGCATACAGTTCACAAATCCAAAGTACATAGCTCACTATTCTTGTTAATGCTCAATTGTGTCATTTGGGGGACATGGGGGAACTTCAGGCTGGCACCTTTTGATGTGTGTCCATCGTTGAGTACTTTCTTGCTTTTTGGTACAGGAAGGAGTTCAGGCTCATCTTTTCTTGTTCTTTGCCTGTCTCAGTCCTGTAGTCGGTCGTCTCTCCACAACCCTGCTTCCTTCTGGCGGGTAGCTCTGTGGACCCTTTGCTGCTTGTCCTTCAGAAGGCTGGGCCAGGTCTGGTGTGGCCAGCAGTGGTGAGTCCGCGCTGACTTTCTGTTCTTCCTTCCGGCTGATTTAGCAGGTGGTGATTGGCTGCCACCACCTTTCTTTTCTGTGGTCATTACCAAGGTTGGGCCCCTTCTGCCCAGGCAGCTGGCGCAGCGCTCTTCTTACCTTTAGTTGCTTACCCAGTGGAACCTGGGAGTTGACCTGGGACTTGTAGCAACATTTGATAAATGGAGCAAAGGAGATGACATTTCCCAGCATTTTTGTTTCCTCATATCCTGCCTCCAGCTTGTGTACACTGTAGCCAGATAACTAAGGAGGCTCTTTCTTGTCCCTCTGTTTATGGAGATGTCTCAAGGGTGGCCCTTGGTTTCAAACACATTTAATTTGATAAATGCAATCACTGAGGTGTGTACAGAATGCCAAGAAACAGGTTGGGCAAGACTGCAGACACAGCAGGGGCCAGGCCTGCAGGGAACCTCAGGGACCCTCCTGAGAAGAGCTGTAATGTGAGGTCCTTTCTAGGAACAGTGTTGGGTTTTTTGTTTTCTTACAGCTGGAGACACCTCCTTCCTGGGGAGATTTAGCTGTTTGACACTTACCAGTCTAGGGAGTTGGCTGTGTGGGGTTGTATGTTCTTTTTTGTGTTGGTGGTTTCTTTCCATCTCAGTATCTTCTTCCCCTGTCCATTCCTATCAGACTGGACAGTTCGCACATGTCTGTATTTATGGCACAGTTTATTGTGTACCATGGAGCTTTACTTGGGCCAAGGGTGCGCCCCTCTCGGAGCAACACAGACTCCCCAGCACAGAGCTCCTGCAGGCTTATGGTACCCCAGGCTTATCCCAAACATGGGTCTTGCAGGTCTGTGCCCACTCTTCTTCCTCCGGTAGCTGTGCACACACAAAAGGGCAGCACCAAGGGTGGGCAGGAGGGCCACACCCCTGGTGGGCAGAGGCCCCACACTAAGATACAGCGACCCCTCTCCTTCTCCTCTTTTTCCAGGCCTTTGCCTGGACTTGTCTCTTGGACACCTGAGTAGATGTTCCATGGATGATTGATGGGCAGGGCACCTGTAACACTGCTAGTCTGAGCCCAGAAGTCTCCAGACCACAGCCTCCCCCCGGCCCCCCCACCCTCCTTGGTCTTAAGAGCCTGCACAGCAGTGCTGCCCCACCTTCATTTAGCTCTGCACCTTTTGGAGTCTCCTAGAGACTCGCCAACAGAGGAGGGCTAAGCCCTGGGTAAAGGTGGACCCCGGGGGAACTGAGGAGCCAGGGCATGGACTGGAGCTCTGCCCAACTTCCCTGTACAGGGCTTCAGGGCGGGGTGGGATCACAGTGGGGCTTATCTACCTTTTTGGCCTGGCTGCTTTGTGGCGGGCCTGAGCCATCTCCTTACCCGGCCCTGGGGCTGCTCCCCTCTCCCCACTGCCTGTTGACAGGCTTTCGTCCCCTCTCCTCCCAGTGCTCAGGCAGGCGCTGCGGCAGAAACACCAGGAAGCCCAGCAGGCCTGCCGGCCCCACAACTTGCCCGTGCTGCAAGCGGCTCAGCAGCATGAGTTGGAGGTATGGGGGCCTGGGCAGGGCGGCAGGCCCAGCTCCTCCTGGTGGGCACCACCAGGCTGCACTTACTGGGCCAAGGACAGGGGACTCAGAGTTGCCTAGGAGCTGCAGGCTGCTCTGGGCCTGGGTGGGCCGCTGAAGGCCTGGCATGTCCCAGCACAGGGCTCTTCCCCACAGGTGGCTGGGTGGAGACCGAAGGCTTATCTGTGGTTCTCCTCCCCGAGACAGCAGCTCTTTATGGGTTGAGGCCTACACAGAGCAGGTGCTGAGTGGGGGGTGTTGTGCCCTAGTGGCCTCAAGAGTGCAAGGGCAATGGTGGGGTGATGTGGACCAGCCAGGAAGGAGCCCATCCTCCTCCCAGGGAGCTCAGTACTACTGGAAACTGGCATATAACCAATAAGCCATGGGTATGGATGTGTGTGGGGGGGGGGTGCATGCAGAGACATGTGCGAGGTCCTGAGGCAGCCCCAAGCCAAGGCGTGCAGGGAAGCCTCTTGGAGCCCTTCTGTAGGGTTTGGCATGGCCAAGGAGAAGGGAGAGGCCTGGGTGTGGTGAGGACACGTCAGTGGTCTCCGAGCCAGTGCTGCTGGGGATGGGAGAGGGTTCTAGGAGGGGGTGGCAGGCAGGAGGGTGTGTTTGAGACACTGATGGGCAGCAGGGGGCACTGATCCTGGAGCTGGCTTCACTCTCCTTTCCCACCACAGGCAGTGGAGCACCGGATCCGCGAGGAGCAGCGGGCCATGGACAGGAAGATCGTCCTGGAGCTGGACCGGAAGGTAGCCGACCAACAGAGCACACTTGAGAAGGCAGGGGTGGCCGGCTTCTACGTGACCACCAACCCGCAGGTCAGTGCCCTGGGCTTCCCTGACCACAACTTAGGTGGCAGTGGTCCCCGAAAGCCCAATTCCATCTGGGGTTTTACTGCTGTCCCCTGGGAAACCAGGCCCAGGACGTGGGGTGGAGCCTAGGGTGCTTTAGATGGAAGTAAGACTGGCCAAGGGGGCACTGCCCACCTTCCAGGGCTCTCCTCTGCCCCCCTCCTGCATGCTACTCCTAGTGCACCGAGCCAGGGCAACTGCCAGCTCTGCTGTAGGCAGAGGCCCAGATTCTGCCCATTTCTGGCAGGCCGTGGCCAGGCTTCACTGGGAAGTTTGTCCCATGGGCTCATTGCCTGGCACCTTCTAGGCCGTGGTGTCTGCCTCTGGGCTGGGGCAAAGGGGAGCAGGTGTCACTCTGGTTCTCACGGGGACCCTCTCTACATCCCAGGAACTGACTCTGCAGATGAACCTGTTGGAACTCATCCGGAAGCTTCAGCAGAGAGGCTGCCAGGCTGGGAAGGCAGCCCTGTGACTGGGTGAGGTCCCTACCAGCTGCCCACTGCCCAGCGTGGCTGGGGAGGCAGCCTTATCCCACTGCCACAGGTAGCAGAAAGCTGAACAGAGCTTGTCTTCCCAGTGTGTGGCTGCTGCCTTTTCAGCTGCCTGCAGCAGGTGCCCTTCTGAGGAGAGGCCAGGTGGATCCTGGCTGCACCTGTCACTTGTCTGGGTTTTTCTGTCCAAACTCTAAGATGGCGTCGTAAAGGGGAGGTAGGTCTAGCTAGCCTGCCCACTGTCTGCCCCAGGGCTGGAGCAGAGTGGGTCTGGAGGTTTTAGCACCTCTTCACTCCACTGGGCATGCCCGACCTCCACCAGGCCCAGGCTTCACACTTGTTCTGGTCTTAGCCCCTCCTTTGGCAGCTGCAGCTCCCCGAGTGGAAGAGAAATAAAATAAAGACACCCAAATATGTGGCTTGTATGACAGCTCTGTGGTTTCTCCTGCAACCAGGGCCCAGGTAGGGCCCTGCCAGGTATGTCCACGGCCCACAGAGGAGCCCCCACCCAGTGTAGCCATTTTGCGGAGACACCTCTTCCTGGAGCTCCCCTCCTCCAGGGCTGTGTGCCCAGCCCCACCTTCTCCCCCAGGGCAGACTGGGAGCCTCCTGGCTGTTCCTGCCCAGCCCTGTTCCTGTGGCCTGTCATTTTTGTGTCTGCACAGGTCTCCCATCCAGGTCCTAGGGTATGAGCACACCCCGTCTGCTGATGTGGGGCTGGAGAGCCTGGGAGGAGGCTGGGCGGAGCCTGCAGGCCCTCCTGGGTCTTGGATTATGAGTTGGGGGCAGGGGGTGTCCAGCACCCCAGATGGCTGGGTCTGCACTGCAGCCGGACTGCCACAGCCAGACCTACGGTGTTGCCTGCCCTGCTCACAGTGGGCCAGGTCTGACCTCCAAGGGCAGAGCTTAAAGGTGAGACTTCTGGGGTTCCACCATGCTGTTCTCTCCTTGCTAACCAGAGCTGACCCCTGTGAGGGCACTGCGGTAGAGAATCTAGAGTCGAGGGCTCTCAGCTGCAGGAACAGTGGTTTATTGGCCAGGCAGGCTTCCCCAGCCTGGCTGCTGCCCACCCAGAGGGGCTGGGAGGGGTGCACTCTGGCAGAAGGTGGGGGCCCCACACCCTCTCACTGAAGGCCAGTTCATGACAGTTCCCAGCTGCTCTGGCAGGTATGAGACTCAGCGCACACCTGAGTGCCCACATCCCAGGTGGGGACAAGAGGCATGGAGGGCAGCTGGGCCCACCTCCAGCAGGTCTTGTATATGTGCTGCTGAAACAAGCATGGTCCAGCAGGTCTTGAAGTCTTGGGTATAAAAATGTGAATCTGTGGAGGTTGGTGGTTGGCTGCTGCTACAGACCCCACGCCAAATCCCTGCCCCAGCCTGAGGGCCCTGGGAGGCCACAGCTGGGGCAAGGGGGAGTCTAGAGTGTGGCAGAGGTGGTGGATGTGGTGCTGCAAGCGCTAGGCCGGGCGGTGGAACAGGCTGCCGGTGCGCAGCCGCCGCTGGAGCTCCTGCCACAGCAGCTGCCGCTCCTTCTGGGCACCCTTCATGATGCCGCTGTTCTCCTGGGCACGGCGGGACAGGTACGGCAGCACCTCCATCACAGGGCCATAGGGCACATACTTGTACACAGGGAAGCCTGCCTGGCCTGTACACATGGGCAGGCATAGATGTGAGTTCCAGCCCCCCACCCCCCAGTGCCCCTGCCCAGGGAGGGCCCAGCTCACCCAGCGGGAAGCTGATCTGGTCGCACATGCCCAGCAGCTGTCCAAAGTACACCTGGCGGTCAGCGGGATGCAGGCCCAGGTCCTCCATCCTGTGAGCATAGGTGAGGCCAGGCAGGTGAGGGGCCAGCCCCATGAAACCGCCCCCGGGGGAGGTACAGGGCCCCCGTCTTAGCTCTGAGCCCCTCCTGCTACCCCCAGACCCCACACGCACGCACACTCCAACCTTCATCCCGTATGGTGAGGCTGTGTGTGGCCTCCTCCCAACAGGATGCTGCTGGGCTGCCCTGCTGCTCCCCAGCAGCAAGGCCCCCTCCGTCCCCGCCTGTCCTCCCACTGCCTCTCCCACACCTCCTCCACCTCCCTCCTCAGGGGTGCAGCCCTCCTGGTGCCCTGACCCCAAGAGGAGCCTGGCCAGTGGCCTGTCTTGTGGCCCAGGGAAGCTCCTCAGCCCTCCCACCAGCCCCTCCCCCAGAACCGCTGGGCCCCCAGTCCCCCTTCCCTCGTCGTCCCTGTGCTGGCTGCTCTGCCCCATCTCCACAGCTGCTCTGTCACGTATGATGGCCACTAGCCACCCATGGCCCCTGAGTCCTTGGAAGGTGGCTGGTCTGAATCAAGATGTGCTGCAAGTGTCAAATGCACTCGGGGTTTTGGAGGCTTGGTATAAAAAAAATGCAAAATATCTCATTGCTTTTCTGAAATATTGACATTTTGAAATGGTAATATTTGGGATGTTGGTTCTCTGCAGTATTTTATTGAAATTAACTTCATCTTGGGCCAGCCCGGTGGCGCACTCGGTAGAGTGCGGCGCTTGGGAGCGCAGTGGCGCTCCCGCCGAGGGTTCGGATCCCATATAGAGACCGGTCCGCTCACTGGTTGAGCGTGGTGCGGGCGCGACACCGAGGGTTGCGATCCTATTGCTGGTCACGGTACGGGCGCGACACCGAGGGTTGCGATCCCGTTACCAGTCACAAAAAAAGACAAAAAGGGAAAAAAAAAAAAAAAAGAAAGAAATTAACTTCATCTTTTTCTTTTAACGTGGCTACTAGAAAATTAAAAATTACAGATGTGGCTCCCATTACATTCCTATTAGTGCTGCTCAGATGGGGGAGTGGGGACCCCAACTCTGTCCTGTCTTCGCACCACCCCTTGTAGGATCTTACAGAACTTCCAGGGTGTGAAATAGCTCTGTGATGATGATCCCACCTTGTCATCTCCAGCTTCCTATACCCAGGTATCCAGATATGCATCAGTTCTCTGGAGCCCTCTGGCCTGGGGCATGGTCAGTCTGAGCCTTCCTCACGTCCACACAGTCTACTGGCAAGGCTTGTATGTCCCTCTCTCCCCACCCCTGGGACTCCTGCCTCCCCTGTTCTTGTCACTGTCGGCCCTGCCAGCCCTGCCCCAGGCTCCCTAAGCACCCAGGACCTCGGCAGGATGGTCGGCCCACAGACCCTGTCCCTCCTTCCCTGGGCAGGGCTCCAGTGTCAGGACTGTCCAGTCTAAAGCGGGCCCTGATCTCCTCCACATCACCCTGGTCTTGAGTTTGTATGTCTTTCTCCTCCACTCCAACAGGAACCTCGGGAGCCAGGCTACCTGCCTGAGTCACAGGCTGTGGTGGGAGTATGTATGACAGCCTACAAGAATGGCTGCTGACCCCTCCCTTGTCCACAGCCTCTGCCACATGACTGTGGCTTCTCCCAACACAGGGCAGAGGATCTCTCCACCTGGCACCTGAGCTTGGCCAATAGGGTGATGGCAAATGAGACAGGAGCAGACGCTTGCCCTCTCTAGGGTTTCTGGAAACCTGAGACCACCATGTGACAAAGCCTGGGCTGGTCCTTGGGACACTGGACACATGATGCAGACCCATCTGCTGCCCCAGCTGTGAATGAGGTCATTAGGACCAACCAGCCCCCACCTGACCACAGATGCAGGAGGGACCCAGTCAAGGCCAACAGAAGCACCCAACTGAGCCCAACTGAGCCCACAGGCCCATAGGACATGCTGTTCAAGCCTTTAAGTTTTGGGTTGGCTTGACTGTTTAACTGTGGTGCCTGGATGTGCGGCATAGCGGCCTGAGCCTGACACAGAGCAGCTGCCACCATCCGAGACCCAGAACTGTTTCCCCAGGGAAGGCAACCCCATCTGCCCAAAGCAGGAGCATGGAACCCCAGCCACAGGAGTGAGCCTGCTCAGGCACAGTCATGAGCATGCTATTTGTGGAGCCCGGCCCAGGGCCCTAAAGGCTACAAGGAAGGAAGGGGGCTCAGCTGCCACTCAGGGGATGGGGGGAGCTGCGAGCAGACGGGGCCACCACAGCAAGATGGTGAGGACAGACAGGTTCAGAAGTCAGGAGAGAAAGGAAGCCCTGCTGAGGGCAGGCTACCCTTTCAAACTTTGTTACCTGTCTAGTCAGGGTCTCTGCCTCCCCACCAAGCTTCTGGGGGGTCCAAACCCCAGGAGGTCTGAGCCTGGGAGAGGGAAAGGGAAACAGGGCCCCTGGGGCAGGCACTGTTCAGGCTGAGGCATGAGATGGAAGGCCATGGAGACAGTAATAGAATAAGAATTCTCTCCACCTTATTTCTGTATTCGATTTGTTGGAATTCTACCAAAGTTTTGCTCCACAGGACACGTATTTAAAGAGAAAACAGACTTTGTTAAATTCCAAACACAGTTTAAAATGTGAAGGGAACTACATATAAACAAGGCAGCGCATCAGAGCCTCAAGGGCTCTGAGATCTAACACCATGTTTCCACATTTCAATAAGCTACTGAAATCACCTAATGAAACTTGTTTTCTGGAGGTGAAACTGTAATAAGTAAGGTATTCATTTGAAAAACCAAAGGAACTGCACACAGCCTGCTTGCTTCTGCAGTGTAGTGTGAGGAACAGCTGGCCTTGGGGCCTGCAGGTACTAAGGCTACCACACCAGCTTGGTCCACCAGCCTTCCCCACAAAGTGCCCAGCCACACCTGCAGGGCCTGTGCCCCGGCCACTCCCAACCAGAGACCCCAACAGCTCGGGGCAAGGCAGCACCTACCTGCTGAGTGCAAAGCGCACCGTGTCCTCGTTGTGGGAAGCCACCATCACCTCAGCCTTGGCGTTGTGCTTCAGCTCCTCCAAGACGTAGTTGAGGCACCTGGGGAGAGTGCCATGTGAGCTAACCCCAGGCCCACCGCCTGCCCCCTCACTGCTAGCTCTGAAGGGGAAGGAGGCCTCAGGCAGGGCCAGGGCCGACCAGCGAGCTGGCTCCCCGCAAGGGTGCCCACATGTTAAGAATGGGAACAGCATCTGTCCCTCCTCAGCACCATGTGAAAAAGACCAACAACCAAGAAAAAGTGAGCATCAGCTGTGACTAGTCAGTTCATGGAGAAGAACCAGCTGGGGTAGTGTCCCCACATCAAATGAGCTATGATTCTACAGGGGCCAGCCCGGACCTGCCCGTGTCCCTCGTGACAGACACAGCTTTGCTTCTGGGAAGGGACCCTACAGTGCACTTCTGGCCCTGTGATGAAATTAAAGGAAGCAGGTCCCTGCAAGCCTTGGGTGGGGTGAGCCTCCCTGTGTACCGGGAGACCGAACGGTACCACCATCTTGCAGTGAGGACAGTTGGCAGGCTTGACAGAGTGCACCTCCTCTCTGCCCCAGCAATTCCATTTCTGGGTACGTGTGAGGACTGCATCCTCAGACACAGAGAACCCCTGACAGCACATGTGTATGACAGAGGGGTGCAGGGTATTTAGTGAGTCACCATTACAATACCAGAAAAGATCACAGAGATGGGACACGACCTTGGTCTTCCCACGCTGGCTGTTAACACCGCTCTGTATGCTGACACGAGAGGACCCAAATATAGCATCAAATGAAAAAAGCAAGGAGCAAAGGACAGAGTGTACAGTGTAAACAACAATGCGGGGGACATGCATGGCGGGCTCCCGGAAGCGGTGTTACCCAGAAGGGAGCTGGAGCCAGCAAGGAGACACTTGGGGTCTTTCTGAATTTGCAACATGCACGCCTGATCTCAGAGAGAAAGCACACGGTCTGTCTGCCTGTGCAACAGGGAAAGATCACTGGGGCGAACAGCATGGAAAGCAGGTGCAGAGCTGTGCAGAGTCCCACCGTGGGACTAAAAAGCAGAGGCTGAGCTGTGCCGGCAGAGGGCCGGGTGCCTGGAGGCTCAGTGTACATTTCTCATTCTAAGTGTCAACAGGAGCCAGGTTGGGGGACCGTAGCCAGTTTTGTTCAGTAGACTTTCTTATGTTTAAAAAAGAAAAACCTTAATGTTTTTGAAAAAGTGACACAAAAACAGAGAAAATATCAGTTCTGGCCTCAGGACACACATCTTCTGCTCCTGCTAGAGGCTTCTGGCCCCAGCAGAGTCAGGTGGGGTCAGCTGAGCATCACATGTCTCCTGAGCTGCCCTGGGAGGAGGAAGGCGCAGGAGGGCTAGCGCACCTGTGGTACATGGTGTTGGTGGCCTCATACGTGGGGTTGATGGGGTCCTCGTAGCCGATCTCTGCAGCGCGGGCACGTTCCTGGGCCATGTATGCACCCCTCACTAGCTTGGCCCCAAAACACCAGCCCTCGCGGCGGGCCAGCTCCACGTCCAGAGTCACATTGTCGTAGGCATCCTGCAGGGCCAGGGCCAAATGTCACAGGGAGCCTGGTCAAGCCTGGATGATGGCAGGATGGGGCCTTCCTTGGCCCCAGATGCTCCTAGGCACTCCCAGGCATGGCCAAGTTGGAGTAAGAGGTCTGGGCAGCAGCTGCTTGAGGGAGGCATGGCTCAGGGGATCTGGGAGTCAGGTATGGGTGAAGATGGGCCTCTGCCCTCTGTCCCCAAGGAATGGTAACAAGGGGGACACCTGCAGCCTCTTCCGTGTGGCCTGAGGGCAGCCCTGTATCAGCAGTCACTCCATGTTCCAGAGTCTCCTTGTGCCAACTGGGAGAGGAGTGCCTGGTGGGAGCATCCACCTGGGCCCGCACACCACCCCATGTCCTCTGGGCACCTGGCTTGTCCATGTGAGCTCCAGACCTGCACAAGTCCCAGAGCAGCTTAGTGCCCTCAGGCAGAGGGTTGGGCTTGGGGTCCTGTCCCGAAGCCCCTGGGCTCCCTGAGTACATGCAAAATTCTAGGCAAGTCTTTTTCTGGAGAGGGGCCAAGAGCTTTCATCAGATTCTGAGATCCTGAGCAAAAAAATGGGCAGAAGGAAGTGGTCATCTGTGAAGTCTACAAAATTTGGGGTTTAAGGCACATCAAGCGAACTCTAAAAAATCTCCTTTGTCTTCCTCCCACCCCTTAAACACTGTTGTATGTGTCCCAAGACCCACAGGAGGGGCTGGCACGCAGCTGGCAACTGAGTCCTAGGAGGCCCTTCTTCCAAGGCAGTCACCCCAGCCTCAGTCTCTCCTGCAGGGCTGTGTGCAGTTGCTGGCCAGGAGCCTTTTTCCTGGACACTGGGGCCCAGCCTGGGGTCAGCCCTGTGGCAGAAGACCCCAGCAACCCCTGAGGGGCACAGTCTGCTCCCTCCTGAGTCTGTCCCACAGGCCCCCAGCCTGTGCCCAGAGCAGGGCCAGGCAGATGTCACAGGGCTCAAATGACGGATGCCTCTCCTGTGTACCTTGAGGTAGCACTGGTAGGTGTTGAAGATGAGTGGCTTCTCCACGTTGAACTTGCGCTGCATTTCCAGAGTCAGGCGGCTGATGGCCGGCTGGAAGTAGGTCTGCTCAGCGTCCACCATCAGCCGCACACCCACCTCCATGGCTTTCTGAGAGGTGCAGGGGGTGGGAGAGTTGGTGGCTCAAGTGAGACAGGTGCCCTCCCTCTGCCCAATTCCCAGCCCTCCGCCCCAAGCAGGACCAGCTAGCAACCTTGGCCAGGATGTCCATCCGCTGCAGCATTCTCCTCATCTGTAGCTCCTCCTCCTCGGTGAAACGTGACAGCAGGGGCTCCAGCTGTCCTGTCTGAGGGTGCAGCACGTGGTCAGGCCACAGCAGCAGGGCCCAGGAGGCTCCACCTCGAGGCCTGACCACATCTTGCTCAGCGTTGGTACCGTGGCACCTGCCCCCAGGACCAGCAGTGCCTCTTCACTCTGCCACTCTCCCACTGTTTGCACGTGAAGGCCAGCGCCCTGTCCTAGACTGGCCACAGCCACACAGCACCCTGGAACCTCACAGCCAGCCAGCGCCCTGTCCTACACATGAGGCCTGGAAGCACCAGGAGGGAGCTCAGTGCCCATACCAGCCAGCCCCAGGCCTGTGGTAGGCCTGCGCCCCAAGGTATTTGTTCCCTTGGCCTCCCCAGGACCCTCAGAGTCTCCGGCCATCATGGGGAGAGCCCCCTTCTGCTCCCATACAACACTGAGGAAATAAACCTTGACCACCCAGTCAACCAGAAGGGCCCAGCTGGGAGCAGGGAGAGGACTCAGGACGAAGAATCCGTGTCTATGGGCAGATGGCACGCTGTGCAGCACACACTGACGCGTAGCAAAAGACGGAGGCTCCATCCTGAGATACTGGACTTCGAGGAGCCGGGCGGGTCAGCAGTGGGCTGGTGCTCAGAGGCGGCTGGCACCCACCCTGCAGGGCCCGTGCAGACCTGGGGCCTTATGCACACCTGCTCGCCCACCAACCAGCCCGGGGCGCTCCCAAGGCTGCCAGCAAGCACGCACCCACTGGCCCCAGCATCCTGGCCCTCATAAACAGCACACTCTCCCTAGCCACACATGTGTTTGGGGCTCCAACAGCTGGTGACCTTTGAGCAGAACCGCATCACACTGCAAAGCTCCAGGTCAGCGGCTCAAAGGCTGGGGGCTGGGCCCTCAGTGAGCCAGGGCTGGAAGTGTGGGAGGTGCCATTCGTAGGACCAGTTTCCCAAGGTGCTTCTGTTCCCTCTTCAAGTCCCAGCTTTGGTGGTGGTTTCACAGTCTGCCAATTCCTGGGCTCCCTGCCCACCCCCGCCACCACCAACACAGGCAGGCCTAGACTGGCTTCTAACAAACAGAACTTAGCAGGAAAAGGTGACACAGCTCTGCCTGGCTCTCATCTCAGGAGACACTCACCCCTGGAACCTAGCCACCATGCCAGGAGGAAGCCTAGGCCAACAGCCCTGTGAGTGGGAGATCCCGAAAGACCTAGCCCTGCCATCCTCTCTGAGCACAACTGCATGAGAGACCCTCGGTGAGAACTGCCCAGCTGAACCCTGTCAACCCCAGAACCATGAGGGGGAAATGCCTGTTGCTGTTTCAGGCCACTGAGGTTGAGGGGCAATCCGATGACTTGGGGAAGCTCTCCCCATGGTGCCTCAAGGCTATGCATGGGTGTCTGTCCCACCGAGTACTGTGGACACTAGTGAGTTTGTCTTCTCCCCCTGGACCACAGTCTCCATGGGCCTGGGAGGACCCAGTATCAGTCACCCTGCTTCCCACGGTAGGCAACAGGAGACACATGGTGAACTGAATTCCCTCTCGGCCCAACACCCTGCTGTGACAGGACTCAATGGAGAGGAGGGGACACATCACCTGTGCATTGGGGACCACCAGGTGCTTGGAGAGCTTGGTCCTGCTGTCAATGAGGCTGCTCCAGTCCAGCAGGTCCACGGTGCTGAGGGAGAAGGCACATTAACAGCGTGGGGCAGTGGGCGGCTTCTCATTCAGGCAATGCAGCTTTACGCACAGGTTCCAGGATAGGTTGTAGGTCCCAGGCCCAAACCAGCCCATTCCCCAAAATAGCACCCTCAAACCTAACCACCACAAGACCCACCTCAGTGTTTAGTTTTAAAAGATGGATAAAATGTAAATATTGTTCTCCCTTAAAAAAATTAAAGCCATGGGCCGAGCCCATGGCGCACTCAGGAGAGTGCTACTCTGGGAGTGCAGGAGCGCTCCCGCCGCGGGTTCGGATCCTATATAGGGATGACCAGTGCGCTCACAGCGCTCACTGGGTGCGGCCGGTCTCAAAAAGGACAAAAAAAAAAAAAAAAAATTAAAGCCAAAACACAAACATTCCTGCATTGGAGTGGCAGCTGTAAAGCTGCAGGACACACACTAAGAACACTGGGGCCAGAGTCCCACCCTTTGGCCCCAAGGATGTACGTGGGGCTCTGATCCTTCACCTGCCAGGATGGGCTCCGGGAGGGCTGAGTTTGACACACTCGCTCTGGGACCCTGATCATTCTGTAAGAAGTCCTGCTGAGGTAAGTAGGCTGGCCCTGTATCTATGCTGCCCAGCCCCAGCCCTGGGGACCCCCAGCCCCCAGTCAACTCCTGCTCTGTGCATCTCAGGGGAGCAGCTCCTTTGGCACTGTCAGCCCAAGGCCAGGATTGGGAGAAGCTGCCAGGGCTCAGCTGGAGCCATGGCTGAACAAGGCGGACGCTCCCTTCTGCCCAGCCAGGGGAGCTGATCTTACCCAGACACTCCTAGGGTCTCCGTCGTGAACCAGTCCTCGATCTCAGCCCTGGACGCAATGCCCATCTTTGTAACGCTTTCCTTGAGAATTGAGAAGTCTTCGGGCAGCAGTGATGTCTCCCAGCCCCGTTCACTACCGTTTCGTCCCCCACCCCCACCCCACTGTTTTTTACTATATTACATCAGCGAGAACGGGACCCATTTCTGGCTTGTGTTTCTGCTCCATGCACAGGTCTGTTCCTGCCCGTCTACTGGTGCCAGTTCCCATCCCCGCAGCCCTATCCAGACTCCTTCCCATAAGGGGCCCTCCTCCTCCTCCAGCAGCTGTGGAGTCGGCTGCACACCCTGGAACAGCTCTGGGAATCACCTGGGACCACTGCCCAGCCAGTTCCCCAGGCCCTCACGGTGCCCACCCCTTCACACCCACCAGGGTAGGGGGAAGGGCTGCCCCACCTGCAGTGCGGCCACCTCTAGCTTCGTGTCCTTGGCGGCCAGCCCAGCCTGCCCTTGTTCTGCCGCCATTTGGTGAAAGAACTGTCTCCACTTGGTCAGCACGTCTGAGAACTGCAGCTGCAAATGCAGGCCTGAGCCGACGTCTGGGTGCACACCCAGGTCCCTGTCCCCAGACCCCTGCACAGCCCCTGGGGCCCTGAGGACAGGAACTGCTCCCTGTCCCACCCCTGCAGCCCCAGCTCCCAGCCTCCAAGGTGCTGGCACATGTGTTTTCAGTAAATAGCACAGCAGTCCCAAGGTCCTGCAAAGCCTCTGCAAGTGGAAGGTTCCAGTACTTACCAGAAACTGGGGTCTCCCTAGTGCAGTGAGCTTAATGGCTGAGAAGCCATCATTGCTGGCTCCGCCTGTCAGAAGCCACAGGAAAAGCCATGAGGGCCTAGGAGGAGACAGGCATGGAGGTGGTGCAGGGGGGAGAGAGAGGGCTGGGGGTCTGTGCCGGCCACTGGCCCCCACAGCCAGGTTACTAACCTCAATTCCACCCAGCCCCTGCACACGCCGCTCCAGAGACCCCACTGTAGAGGTGGGAAGGCGCAACTTGGTAGTGTCTGTGTTTGCCACATGGGTGCAAGAGCCAGCAAGACCTGCTCACTGCTACGCAGCCCTGATGGTCTCCCACCTCTCCCAGCCTCAGTTTCCTCCCCATGCCATCAGCACCACAGGTTGCTCGTGCATGGGTCACAGGACAAGGCAACCCCCCAGCAGAGCGGAGACTGGAGTGCACAGGGAGAGTGGGCAGGGGGAGAAAGGAGAAGATGCCCCTCCCCCAACGGCCTGACCGCTCAGGAGCTTCCCAGCCCCTCTTGGGAGGCTACTTCCAAGCATTGCTCACTCCTGTTCCTTAAAATGTTCAGAAGGTGTAGGACCTTAACAGGAGGACTGCTATCACAGGGGCTGCACTGTGGTCTGGTGTGTTTCTGAAGGCTAAAGGACAATGGGCCTGGTGACCGCCTGGCTTAACTCATCTCCGGCCCCCCCAGAGGCTATACAGGGAGGCATTGTCTCTTACCAGGGACGTGGCACTAGCTCCCTGAACTGAGCCTCAATCTCAGACCTAGGGGCGGCTCAGCCCAGACTGCCTTTCTGCAGCTCCGTGTCCTGGCATTGTGCCCAGGAGAAGGGTGGGGGCAGGAGGTACCTTCCTGAAGGAAGCCAGGCCCCTCAGGAAGGGGCTGGATGGAGTACGCCCCAAACACACCCCAAGTGTAGCCCTCTCACTCTGGCCCCAGCCTCACATTCACCCATCAGCATCTCCACATGCCCAGGGTATGCTCAGGCTAGGACCTGGCAGGTCTATGGCTAGCAAAGAGGGGGCCCCACCTGAAGCCTCAATGCAGCGCAAGAATATCTCCATGTGGCTGTCGCACTTGGCTTCGTTGGCATAGAAGTAGGTGCGGGCGCTGATGACGCCGTCCCTGCGGTCTCCGAAGGCCCGGTGGGCCTGGTACTGTTTCTCCCGCTTACTCGTGCCTGGAAAGATGGCCACACAGCCTGAGCCCATACACCAGGGCTGCATCGCAGCCCCAACCCGTCACTCCCACACACACAAGGCAACGCCACAGGGCTCTGTTGCAGCCTGGCCAGGGCCTGGCCCCCTGCACTGTGCTGCCTGTGGCTCTCCATCCCCAAACCCACCCTTCTCTCTCTTGCCCTGTGCCCTACAGCCATGTGTCTTTGCACTTGCTGTTCCTCCCACCTGAGTGCCCTCTCCCCTAGCCAAGCCTCGTCATGGGGCAAACAGGGCCAGGAAGGCAGAGCCTCTGTCACACAGGGCCTGGACCAGAGCCTGCCAAGGGAGGGTGGAGGGGACTGGGTCCACCTGGGAGGGCCGTGAGAAAGAAGGGGGCCTGCCCTTCACCAGGGGGCTCACACAGTGTCAGACCACACAGTGATGAGCAGGGCACCCTGGCCATAGGGAGGAGCCTCGGGAACCTTCCTTGCCCTGAAGCTTGTGCCCTGAATCCAGAGGTCTCTTGAACCACTGGGGAATGTGTGGGGGCGGGAGAGTGTTCCTGGATGGCAGCCTCTGACTCACCACTGCCATCCCTCTCCGCAGCTGAGGTGCAAGACCTGTGGGAAGGAGGAAGAGGGTGAAGGTCAGGGTCACACGGGCTGGGCTGCAGGTAACAAGCAAGTTTCCGTTGAAGAGGCGAGGTGAGAGGGGATGCTAGGGGCTGCGCCTCTGACCTGACCATGAACCTGACAGTGACTGGGGTTTGTCTGGGCAGGCCCAGTCGCACCCCAGGCCTGGGCATTATTATGGTCTTTGAGCCAGGAGGAGCAGCAGCCAATGGGTTCCTGAGCCTGAGTCCTTGAGGGTAGAGCCCTCCCTACTTGTGGGTGAGGTGCAGGAGTGAGCCGTGTGACAGCCCAGGGCACGCAGCAAGTTCTTAAAAAAAGTGGGCTACATGGCCATCCCTTCTTCCGAGGAAAAGATGGGATGCAGAGCCAGCAGGGCTGGGAGGAACGGAGGTGGGAACGCCACCAGCATACAGTTCCCAAAACCCAGCAGTGAGGCCCCTCTGCTCTGCCTTCCGCCCCCACATCCAGGGTCTCCAGCTCCAGTTCAGAAGTTCCAGCCATGCCCTCCAGGCCCAGCCCCCTCCTGCCTTCATTCTTACCCCTTAGGCTTATTTTCCAAGCAGCAACCAGAAATTTTCTTTTAAAATGCAAATCAGACCTTACCATTCCCTTGTTTAAAACCCTCCCCGGGTTCCCATCATACCCCAGCAGCATCCAAAGTCCTCATTAGGGCATGACAATGAGGCAGGATGCTGGCTGCCCCAGCTCGCCTGCCTGCCCCACCCCATGCTCAGGTTCAGCCAAGTGCTGGCCTCCCTACAGTCCCTGGCTGTGCCCGCCCTTCCCGGCCTGGCCTGGCCCCACCCCATGCCCACCGGCCCCTCCCTTCTGCACTGCACTGACTCCCAGCATCCTCTGCCTTGGTCCAGTAGAGGGCTCTGCACCTCCCCCACCAGCTCTGGTCCCTCCCCTGCCCCACCCAAACCTCAGTAAACACCAACAGCTTCCTCTGCTGAGTTCTGGTGCTGTGGCACTTGGGACAGCAAGAGTCCTGGCTATTCAGGTGAAGGGAACACTCACCCTAACCCTAACCCTAAAAAACCCACTGTGCCTGAGGGGTTATGCCTGTCATCTGACTGTATTTAAGGCCTTATTAAGTCATTTACCATGGAGAGAGCTCAGCTGCACCACCAGCAGCACTGGGGCCTCCCTAAGGCAACCCAGAGCCATTCAGACCCTCCTGGGCCCCACACCCCACAGGAAAGGACAGTGATTTTTCCCCCATAGCTCCTTGGGGCAAAGATAAAGCCAGGGAGGTGAAGACAGTTAACTACACCTTGAGGATCCCATGTCAGGGGCCTTCATGGGGGCTTTGGACCTCACTGCTCATGGAGCAAGTGCTGGGCCACCAGCTACCTGCCAGAAGCTTCCCCCCGATTCCCACACCCCACAGTCCCACCAGCTCCTATGTAACCACAGGACCTTCATCTGGGGACTCTGACCAGAATGCCCAGATCAGACCCCAGAAGTCACGGGGACCAGGCTAGGGTCTCGCCATGTGGCATCACAGTCCACGAGATTGCAGCTCAGAGGCGGCAGCTGGGCAGGCACTGCTCCAGCCACCTTGTGCTGACAATGGGATGTAACAGAAGAGCAGAGAGTGAGATGTCACTGTGTGACAATGTTAAGGAGGGGTAGGCAGGCCCCACACACTACCTCCCAGCCCAAAACAGGGAGCTCCCTGGCCCCCTCCAGAGGCCCCTGGTGTGGGCACCAGTGAGACCAACCACAGGGCAAGCCCCAGGCCCTTCAAGCCAAGGCCCAAGTAAAACCAGGCAAAAGCCATCCCCGAGTGGGACCCTCTGTCTACACTAAGACAGAGGAGGCAGCCTGGGTCCTGCCTCAGGGGCCTGCATGACCCCCAATGGGAAGGTCCCATTCTGTAACCACACAGCCCACAGTTTACATAACACACGCCTAAACCATGCAGGTATCTGCCTGCTAGGCAGACTGCCTTCCACAAGACAGGAAATCATTACCCGAAAGGTCCCCAGGGGCCTCCTCGGCATGTCCACAGCTGGCTCTGTCCATCCTCTGAGCCCTGTGCCAGGCTGGAAAGGCCCGGGGAGATGGCGGTGCCCCCAGCAGGCTCAGCTGTTATTACCATCCGTGAACCTCCATGCACAGAGCAGCCAGCTGCACAGCACGTGCAGTAGTGGGAGGCACAGCTGGGTCTCAGAGCAGAAAGCCACTTGGCAGGGACAGGGACGCACTCCCAGCCAGGCCTGGCAGGTAGGTCACGAAAAAACACAGACAACAGTTTCCAAGAGGAATGGGAGTCACATCACCACGGGGGGAAAGGAAGAGTGCACCCCGTGCACAGGTAAGGCTGTGTCACCCGCGCCACAGGCAGGACATCTGGCTTTCACCACCTGAGGCATTGCCACATCAGGGCACGGTGGCACAGTGAAGCTGTGGCATGTGGCACTAGCAACTGGAAGATTTTAGAGCTAGAAATGAACCCTGATCAGGGTGGGGATAACCCTGCCTCAGAAAAGCCCAGATGCACATTCTGCTTCCCCAGCCCTCACCCTAGGTGCCAGGACACAGCCTGCCACCTGTGGCAGGAGGCTCTGGGTCCCCCTGGGCCTCAGTCTCTGGTTTGCCAAAGGGTACACTCATGCAGACACCCTTGCACAAACAGGCATGGCCCAGGATGTGGAGGAATGAACAGAGTGACAGGGGCAGAGGAGGACAAACACACGTGCCCCAGGGACCTGCAGAGGCAGCAGGAGGACCCTGACTGTCCCCTCAGCCGCTATCAAGCTCAGCTCTCAGTAACTATACCTGGTGATTTGTTGGCTTGATGCCCGTTTGAAAAAATGCAGAAAATGAAGGGAGACCATGGCAGCCACCCTTGCTCTAACCCTCCCTTGGAGAAAGAGGTGGCAGGAGCAGGGAGAGAGACCCAGCCAAGCCCAGCTAGCCCACTCCTACTTGCACAACCCCCTCCTCAGCTCCCCCCAGGCCCTGCCTCCAGGAGAGACACTTTGAGTACACCAGTCCCAGGAGAGTGGCCACCACCCTGGGGTCCAAAGTGCAGGCCCAGCTCCAGCCAGCCCCGGCTCTGCACAGCTGGGACAGAGACACCTGCCATCCACCCTGCCCCAGGTGTCCTTTCACAGCACACTCATCAGTAAGATGGCCCGGCCCCTTCCCCACCCCAAAGTGTTCGCCCTGGTTGGGGCACCCCATGGGGCTCCTTTTCTGGAGTCAGGGCAGGGCCCTGGCCTCTTCATTTTCACATGTATCCTGGGAAACACCATCCCACTCCTCCCAGGTGGCCCCTCTCTCTCCTGCACCTCCAGCCTCCCACCTCTTCCTCCCTGCCCTGGAGGCCCTTCTGGGTGCCCCCTTCTCCTCCTCCCTTGGGAGGACTGCTGGGCCTCACCTTGCATTCAGACACCTCCATCCTTTCTGTGCCTCTTATGGTTAGGCTAGGGGCAGGCCCAGCACACCCCCACAGCCTTAATCTGGGACTGTGGACTCCGCATCTCTCCCCAGAGTAGAGCCTATGGGCTTGTGACAGGAGGGTGGGGAGGAAGATAGATCTTTGGCCCCACCAGGGATAGTGAAGCAGCTCCCCACACGCAGCCAGGTAGGGCACTCCATGGTGTGGATGTTGGAACGGTGTTTATAATCCCAGCCTGCCCTCCCTGCCCTTCAGCCTGAGCCCCTCTAAAGGCACAGAGCTGCCCGCAAAAGAACTGGCTGTGAGACCTCAGCACTTGCCACTGGCATCAAAAGGCGGTCGTCCTGTTAGGATGAGGGGGGACCACCGCTCAAGTTCAGAGCCCAAGTGCGGCTCCTGCAGATGGGCAGCTGCCAACAGCAGGGCGGCCCAGGGGAGGCACAGCCTGAGCAGAGCAAGGGACACAAGCTCCCAAGAGCATAGGGACGGGGCGCAGCCTGGCCCACCTCCAAATGCTCAGCCTGCAGGGCAGGAAGGAAGCCAGGCAGGACCGCCTGGGGAAAAGATTCTTTCCATACCAGAGGTGCCTGGGAGAGAAAATCCCTTTATGAAACCACGAAGTCCTCACCCTCACAGGCCGTTGGTTATTCAACACACAGCCTTAGCAAAGGCTTCGGCCAAGTTCCAGGCGGCTGCAAGGCTCCCAGGCCCCACTAGGGTGCTGGGGCTCAAGCACCCCACCTTCACAACAGCCAATCCCAAGGCAGGGGCTGGGCTCCCTAGGCCAATCCTGTGCTGCCGGCAGGCGGCATGCAGAGGCAAGGCACGGACATTCCGTTCCCAGAACGAGAAGCCTCATGTGACTGCCTGTCCCTGCCCTTCCCAGGCCAGCCACCTGGGGAGGGCAGAGCAAATACCAAGGCTTGACGGGGTCCTCAGCAGGCTGTCCTGAGCCTTAGGTGGATCAGGCCCAGCTGCTGTCAGGATGCAGGGGCCCCAAATCCAAGCGAGGCCCACATCAGCTCAGGAACCAGACATTTTGCAAAGAAAGGGCAGGTCTTCCCCGGACCTCCCATGAGTCGGCCACTATTCTGGGAAGCAGAGAGCATCATCCTGTTGTTATGTCCTGTTGCCCAGGAGGGTGGGTCAGAGAGGTGCTCACTTGTCCCCTATACTCGCTGCCCAGGGAATGGACCCCAAAGCAAGTCTGTGACTTCAGGAGACTGCAGGACTGCTCCTGACTGCAATTTCCTTCTCCAAGGACACACAGGCAGGGGTGAGGCCTGGGAGGCTCCACACCCACCAGATAGAGCCACCTGCAGATGAGGAAACTCAGGCAGGGATGGGGCCGGACTAGGGTGGGGCAGCAGGACCCACCCAGCCCATCAGGAATCACTTGGAAGAGAGGCTGTAGCAGAGCAGGAAGCCAGAGCAGCCTTCTGCACCAGGGTAGCAAACATTTATGTAAACGGCCAGGTAGCACCTATTCTCAGCATGTCCCAACTACATATAATTTTCACGTGTCATGAAATATTATTCTTGTTTTGATTTTTCAACTGTTTAAAAATGCAAAAACCATTCTCTGCTTGCAAACCATACAAGACCAGGTGGGAAGCTCAATAGGACCAAGGGCCATAATTTGCCAGCCTCTTTCACACCAGGCTTTCCACAAAAGCCCACAGCCGCCATCTGCAAGAAGCAAACTGCCAGAACTTCAGACACAAACCAGAAGGTCGCTGCTAATCAGGCTGACCGAGTTCTCCCAGCCCCGGCCTCCACCTAGTGGAGGCAGAAGGCCAGCCACTGCATTCCATCTGGCCCCCAACAGCCCCAGGGCGCTTGGGGGTGTGGCAGATGCTGGGCAGGGCTTACTCCATCTCCTTGAGCTCAGCCTCCTCAGAACTCAGGTCTTCCTCCACTCCGTAATCCAGGATGGAGCCGACGCCAAAGGCCCTGTTGTGCTGGATCAGGGGCCGGATGGACTCCTGGTCCTCACCAGCCACAAACTGCCCATAGAACGTCATCTTCATTAGCACGTTGAACAGCCTTTGCCCCAGAAGTTTCCTGGTGATGTGGAGCAGCTGAAAGGCAAGGGGAAGCAGCTGTCCTGGGCCACCCAGCCTCCTCTTCCCCAGCAGGACACCCCTGCTTTCCACCCCCATCCCACACTTCACTCCAACCACAGAGCCTTGATATCGTCTCCCCAGGGTCAAGACCACCTGAAGCAGCTTGCGTCTCTGCTCACAGCAGTTGTCAATCACTTCAGTCCTCATCGAGGGCAGAGCAGCCCATCTGCAGTGTTGTCCCATTGGCCCCCTGGCCAGCTCTGGCCTCCCTGCTGCTGTGAGCACACTGTTCCCTCTCAGACTACACTCCCAAGGGGGCCTGCTCACAGCTCACCCCAGCGGCACACAGGTGGTGCCCAAACACTGCTTAGTGGATAAAGAGGAGAACGACTGGTCTTCCTGGGGACAGCATTAGGCATTGTCACAACATCCTCTGTATCCACACCTCACTGGTTCCACTGGGGAGGAGGAGGATCTGATGTGACTTTCTAGAATGCCAACATTTTGTTCACTGCTTATTCCAAGTCCCTAACACAGTGCTTGGCACGAGGTTGGCCCTCAAATGGTTGCTGAAGGATGAACACACACAAAACTGAGACTGAGTCTGAGCTCAGCTGGAGCAAGGGATGCCCTGACAACAACCCAGGTGGCCATCTACAAGGGTCTGGAAGATGAGGGCCAACCCTGGGACCAGTGGGGACTTGGCAGGGTAGTTCAGGGCTGCCAGGAAGACAGCTGCCTGGAAACTACTCAGCTTTCCCTTCTGATCACATTTCCCTGTATCCCAAATTTCTGCCATCATTCACTCAAATGTCCCAAGCTTCTATGTGCTGGACAGTTCTAGCGACTGGAAAAAACTGAACGAACCAGCGAGGAGAGATCTCTGAGGGGAAGACGCAAGGCTGCTCTGTGAGTGATTCAGTACAGGGGACAGGGCTGGCCGGTTAGCTAAGACGGTTAGAGCATGGTGTTGATAACACCAAGGTCAAGGGTTCGGATCCCCACACTGGCCAGCCACCAAAAAAAAAACAACAACAAAAGAACCAGGGGACAGAGGCAGTGCCTGCTGGCCGGGTTTGCTAACCTAGATCTGGGGAGGAGATCTCACCAAGGTGAGAGGTGACATGGAGAACCGGGAAAGCCCCTACAGTGGGGACAGCCAGGGCAGGAGGGAATGGGGACTACCAGAGGCTCCTGGGCTGGGAGGACCAGCGGTGATGCTCAGAAGCACACTCACCACCCTGTGCAGAAACCCTATGCCCACTGCCACTCATCCCCAAGACAGGAAAAACCTGGGGTCTCTCAAACTCAACGGATAACAGAACCCCTTTTCTGTGGGGAAAATCTCTCAGGACCAAGGTTTTGGGAAAGAATCTCTAGTCTAAGCAGAAGTGTTCGAAGCCAACCACCTTCATCCCCAAACCGGCCCCACAGCCTTTTCCTGAACCGCCTTTTCCTGGAACCTTGCGCTGGCGGCCTCCCTCCTGACCACACCCTACATGGCCCCAGGCGTCACAGAGGACCAGTGCTGGACGGCCATCACCCTGCCTTCCTGCAGCCTCTGTGCAGTATCGGATTTCACCACATTTTGCTCTTTTATAAAGAGGATTAGAAACTGGAAAATGAACATGCTGACACCTGAGATGGGGGTGGGCCTCCGTCTCTCACCAAGTCTGAGCCACAGTCAGGGAGCCATTGGAACAGAGCTAGCCTTCATCCCTGCCAGGGCAGCGCCCAGGGGTAGCTGGGAGAAAAAGATGGATCTTGAGCATATCAAAGATCACCCAAGTGGCAGGCAGGGCAGCATCGGGGACCTGAAAACCATCATTCAGCTCCAGAAAAGAACGCCTGACCTCATCCACGCCAGCTCTAAGAGAACCATCAGAAAAACACCACAGTGAAGGTGGGTGACTGTCCTCTCCAGGGGCCAGCAAACTTCCCCATACAGGGCCACACAGTCTCCATCTAATACTTGACTCTGGCATGACCAGCACTAAACAAAGGAGCAGGAGTTAGGCTGTGCTGGCTCCAGAAACTCTTTATTTACAAAGATGGGGTAGGTGAGGTAGAGATGGCTGTCTCTCCTCTTTGCCCCTGAAGAACCACTGTGAACCACTGTCACCATCTGTCCTGTCTTCTCTTCTGTGATGGCTCACACCAAGCACACAGCCGTTGTCACAGAAAACCTGGACTTTCCTAAATCCTCAGAAACGCCTGCTTTCAGGCAAGTGTGGGTCCCAACAAAGCAGCAGCTCAAACTCAGCTCCTGCAGCCTGATGTTCCTTGGAGGAGGTTCAAGGGTCCCACTGCTCCGGTCGGAGCTGCACAGACCAGCACTGGCCCAGCAGGACAAAGTTTTGCTGAAGGCCAGAGGATAGAGAAAGGACTGTCCTCTAGCTGCTCACAGGACTGAATTGTGGTGAGCAGCTCACAAGCCCAGGGCCTGGCCTCTGCCCCATTTCCCGCAGTGGACAATGACAACAGTAAAGACCCCACAGAGAGGCTCCATATGGCACAGTCCCGACACAAGGGAGGCCTGGGAGAGGTCATCTCCTGATGCCCTACCTCTTCCAGGTACTCACACACCATCCCGACACTCCAGCACTTGCCCTGGGCAGGCACCCGAGGGACAGTGAAGCCCACATGTCTCCAACACCACCACAGTCCCCAGACAGTATCCCGATAGCATCAGGGTGCTGGGGCTCATTCCCTTTTGCAGGCTGGGCACCAAATCCCAAGCTCTGCTAACTTTTCAGCTCAACCGCTGGTTTTGAATCCAGCAAAAAAAGCTTAAAGCTACAACTAGAGAAATTTGACCTGGCCGGTCCCTAGCCTGCTCTCTCCCTCCCTGCCAGCCACAGGCAGACACCTTTGACACCCCCACTGCAGGAGCCAGGTCCCTGTCCTTGCCTCTTCAGAGAGCCATGGTTGGCCACTCCTTCCCTGTCTTTCCTGCCCTGGCTGCCTCCTCCCTCCCAATTGCAATGCCACCAGTGCATGCTGCTCCTTACCAGCTGCCTCTTAGATGTTGGTGCTCCACAAGGGTCTTCAGCGTCTTTCCTCTCCCATCTGGGTCCCTTTACCTTGCACGTCCCTTCTCGCCCTCCTCCCCATTTGGCCTGGGCTCTCCACGGCCACAGCTTTACCTCAGGACATCACGGTCTGCCACAAACACAGAGATGGCCTCCCAGAGGTCTCCATCTCGCCGGGCATGCCCCTTCCTCCACCATCCTCCCCACTCCTGCCACCACCGGTCCTAGGCTCAGAAGCTGACTGTGGGGCTCCCCTCACCTCTGCTGGGCTCACAGCCGCCTGATTCCCCCGGGCACACTGCCTCCTGGCAGGGCCTAGGGGAGCAGCCTGGTGCCCTCAGCACAGTCGTACCTGAGAAATCAACACCACCTTCGTGACTACCAATCCTCAGAACCAACAACTGGACCCTTGCAAGCTGTTTCCAGGGTCACCTTGAAATAACTGTCATGTCTATCACCCCCAGACTGATGGTGGCTAAGGTGGTGTTCTGCTTTTTACTTCCCCAAAGACCACACACTTTTTAAAGTTAACATGTTAAAGTTTCAAGCCGGGTGTTTGAGCAGCTTCCCACATTTCCCCAACCCTGTTCAGAGCGGCCGTGTCTGGGGAGAGGCTAGGTCACAGTTTCTGGAACTCTGGGATCCCAGGCTATGAGCCCTTCCATACCGCCAGACTTCCCTTTGGGGAACACGAAAATTACTCAGTTTTAAATGCTAGGTGATCACTTTGTACTCCTGCAAGTGGTACAAATTTTAAAAATTAAATTGATCTTTGTTTTTAGTTGGTAGCAATTGACAAGTGGGAAAATTCACAGGTCCTAAAGGGAATGCAGGAAACGCCTCCCTTCCTAGCTCTCCTCGCTACAGGCGATGCTCCAAAGTCCCCCGCGGGACACTTGGAAACTCCATAATGACTCCTGGGACAGGCAGAGGACCGCGCCCGCCCGCCCCCGGTCCCGCGCACCTGCTCGTGGCGCGCCA